CCTGGGATTAGAGTCCAGCCTTTCTCTTTCAGTCTTCACAAGTCCAGAAATACTCAGTGCTTTTTAGCTTAGCTTTGGTTAGGGGAGAGTTGGCTTTAGGGAGGTCAGGTTTGTCTGGCCTGTCCTTTTCCTCTTCCTTGTAACTCATGGTCATACATCATGAAGAGCTGTGTTAGCCAGAGTGGTGGCGCATGCCTCTCACCTATCACTTGGAAGGACAGTGCAAAAAGATCAGGAGTTCAAGACCAGCCTCAGCTACATAGTAATTTGAAGGCCAACGTGAGCTTCATGAGACCCTGTCTCAAAGCAAACAAAAAACAAATAACAAATGAAAAGTATCTGTTTGGGCCATAGTCATTGCAGTTGAAGCCAAGACGCTTCTCTCAAAGCACATGTCGCAGACTTTGTGGTTCCGAGAGCTTCACAAGTAGATGGACTCTGGGCCATCCCTGGAGAAAAACGTCTTTTATCTTAAATGAATTCTCTGTAGAGAGTATACCAGTGTGACAAGTGTTTCAGTATTGCTAAAGCAAAGAATTTCAGAATACAATTACCCCAAGTTTAGATGCCACATGTCTTTTAGTGTGTTGTTTCATGTTGAGGCCAGGAGGACCTGACAGTGGGGAGCTTGAGACCCTTCCTTTCAGAACACACTGTTGGTCTTCAGGCTGAGTAAGAAGAAATTTTCTTCAAACAAGTTTGGGACTGAGGTATAGTCTAGTGAAAGAACATTTGCCTAGTGTGTCTGAGCCCCAAATCCCCATCTCCACCCAATCATTTGATTTGTTTTCTTTATCTTATCTCAAGTATTTAAGATATTGTTGATCGTGGGGAGTTGGTCTTTGGTTAAACAGTAGACCTTTTTTAAAATTTGCATATGAAATCATTGAATAGGTGGTAACACAGTACAGCAGTGAAGAATGTACAAAAGGAGAATACTTGGAAATAAAATCTCTTTTACCCAGATTCTCTAGTTTTCTTTTGGTTGTAAAATAACCAAGTTTCTTCTTTATCCTCATTCCCCACCCCCAAGATATAAAAATAAATATAGTTTATAAAATAAAATAGTTCCTGTTTTTCCCAAATCATAGCTACTGTGCATATATAAAATCAGTTTTACATTATACTTCTGTACAGTAAGTAGAATCCCAGGCAGACTCATCCTAAAACTGTTGGTGCTCATTTATAATGGGTCCTCATGATCCAGCTGTGGTTTGCAAAGTTTGTGCCAGCGGACGATGGGTGAAAGGACTTGAAAAACCATCTATAAAAGATGCACAGAGAAGCATCCTAATGAGAGGCACCCCTCACTCCGGCACTGTGAAAAAGGAAGAGTATTTTCCAGTTCTATGAAAGACTGAGAACATGATATCATAGCAAGTATTTCAGTGTGTGGCTGTTAGAAGAAATAAAAAATAATGCCTAGTTTGTTGTCTTTATTCTTTTGTGGCCAAGTACTAATTGGTTAAAATAAATGCAGGTCTCAATTTTACGTGCATGTGGGCTACCAAAAATAAGAAACTTTCATAAGAAACTTGCTTAATTTATAATGTCCGTGTCTTCTGGTTTTTTTTTGTTTTGTTTTGTTTTTGTTTTAAGTCAAGAAATGTACCGTTGTCACTCTTTTGTATTAATCAATTAGCCTGGTTTTCTTGGTGGACCAATTCTGCTACTTGTATTATTCTTCCAAAGAATTTTTCTAACTGTTCTTGGGTGTTGGGTCCTGGACAGAATGGCCTCCTTCTTTAGAGGTGACCTCTGCTTCTTTTCTCTGCTACCTACTATTGCCTTGCGTTGAAGGGACAGATCTCTGTTCTGACGCTAATGGACTGTTTTGTTTAGCAATCTGTAAATTGTGAGTGCATTCTAAGGCCTCTGGCTGCTTGTGAACGTCTTCCATCCACAGCTGTGTCTTATCACTGAAACATTGAAAGTTATTTCTTCCCACTTCATCTAACACAGAAGCAAAGAGCCTACCTGACTGTTACTAAATTTGCCTTTGTCTGGCATCAAGTCTTGCTGTCTGTCCTCAGTGCTGCTAGACTGTGAGGGGCAGTCTGTTCTCTGGTGACTTTACTGGCTCCTGTCCTTCCTAGCCCGCTGTTTCTTGGGTAGCTTGGGAATTCTGTGCTATGGTGAGATGTCTGGATACAGTTTATAAGTCAGCCTATACAGCCAAACCATGGCTTAAAGTAATTTTTATCCGTCTTATTTTTTACTCTTAGGCAATACGGAATATCAATCCCAGCACAGCAAATGCTCCAAAATGTCAGGTAGGCTCTTACATGATGTTTTAGCATTGGGGAAAAAGATAACTAAATTAGGAAAGAGAGACACCGTGTTCCTGGCCCTGTCCTTACTGGAGATAAGCCAGAGTGGATATGTTTGAGTCATCTTTCTCCCAGGACACTTAGCTTTTCCAAGGGACTGAGGACTGTCTACCCATGCCAGTCTTCCTGTGTGTGTGTGTGTGTGTGTGTGTGTGTGTGTGTGTGTGTGTGTGTGTGTGTGGTTTTGGAAAGTCTCAGGACTTCCTAGTTCACACACAGTGTGTCTCAGTAATCATTCTGCCAGTCTCCAAATGTGTATGCTTTTTGTTTGAGCAGCTTAAAATAATTTTTTTTTTCCTAAAAGAATCAGTGAATTGAGCTATAGCAGAGAAAGCAGTAGTTCATATACTTGCAGGCTGTTTTTGGAAATCACAGTGAAAATGTTTTTTCTCAATGGCCCTTCTGAAGGGAGGGTGTTATAAATGTCAAAGCTCTCGGGAAATTGAGCTCTGCCCAATTGGTGTTTCAGGTCTCTTTCCCCATGATGAGCTCCAGGGCATACATACTAGTCACAGAAACACCCTGTATTGTCATAGCTGCTCTCCTGACAGACTCCTGCCTGAGCATGGGAATACTGCATTCTAGAAAGCGAAGTGGATCCTATGTGTTTCTGCTCTATAATACTAAAGTAATTAGGAGTAGAGGGTCCATGTGCCTCTTGAGCAGCAGCAGCCATGCAACATGCTTCCCTCCTTCCCTTGCCAAACCCCCCTTTCTTTTGGGGTA